ACTACCGCGCGGAGCTGATCGAGCACCCGCTGAGCATCAGCCTCGGGGACGCCCGGCTCTACGTGCCCAGCGCCCCCCTCAGCGGGCCCGTGCTGGCCCTCATCCTCAACATCCTCAAGGGTGAGCCCCGACGGGCCCGGGCGGGGAGGAGCCTGCCACCACGGCACGTGCCCTTGACCAGAATCGAACCCGGGACCCTTCAGTCTACAGGCCAGCGCTCTATCCACTGAACCAAACCGGCCAGGGACTGGTAATTTTAAAAAATACATTCTTTTATTGATTTCAGAGAGGGAAAGAGAGAGAGAAAAAAACATCAATGATGAGAAAGAGTCATTAATTGGCTGCCTCCTGCACGTCCCACACTGGGGATGGAGCCCGCAACCCGGGCCGTGCCCTTGACCAGGAATCGAACCATGACCTCCTGGTTCATAGGTCGACGCTCAACCACTGAGCCGCACCGGCCGGGCTGCTGCTGGTCACTCAGTGCCCCCCTTCGTAAGGTGGGCCAGGTGGTTTGGGGGTGCGAGAGCACCCCAGGCACCCAGCGGTCTCGGCTGAGCGGCGATGTCCCGAGGGCCCCTGAGGCCGCCAACGTCGCCCGGCTCTGCCCTCCAGGGTACAACTTCTCGCGGGCGAGCGTGGAGACCCCCGAGCAGAAGGGCCTGACCTACCACCGCATCGTGGAGGCCTTCCGCTTCGCTTACGCCAAGAGGACCCTGCTCGGGGACCCCAAGTTTGTCAGTGTGTCTGAGGTGAGGGCAGGGGCTGGCGCTCGATGGCGGGCGGGGTCTGCCTGGAGGCGGCAGGGGGGTCCCCGGCATCCTCTGCGGACTCGTCAGGCCTCCCGCCTGCTGTGCGAATCCGCTCTCACCAACTTGGGGGGGAGGGGGCAGGCCTGTCGCCTGGCAGGATGGACTAGAGCAGTGATGGCGAACCTATGACACGCGTGTCAGAGGTGACACGAGAACTCATTTTTTTGGTTGATTTTTCTTTGTCATTTAAATATATAAAATCAATATCAAAAATATAAGTCTGTGTTTTACTATGGTTGCAAAGATCAAAAAATTTCTATACGTGACACGGCACAAGAGTTAAGTTAGGGTTTTTCAAAATGCTGGCACGCCGAGCTCTAAAGGTTCGCCATCACTGGACTAGAGACTCGCGTCTGGGCCTGGGCCCCGGGAGCTCAGAGTGTAACAGACAAGGAGGAATGAGTGCCCCCCGGACCCCCCCTCCCCCCTCCAGGCTTTGCACGTGCTGTGCCCCCTGCTGGGAGGGTGAGGGGTGCAGGGGGGTGGCAGCCCTCGGGGGATGGGGAGGATGGGGTGGAGCCCGCGACCCGGGCAGGTGCCCTGACCGGATGGAACCGTGACCTCCCGGTTGCCAGGTGGACGCTCGGCCCCTGAGCCCCGCGGCCGGGCCTCGCTGATTTCGAAAGCCCAGGGCAGCCTCTGGCGGAAGGTCCCCCACCCGGGATGGGACTGTCTCCCTGGGAGGAGATTCAGGCCGTAGGTTCTCCCTTCGTTACCCTGCGGGGTGTGGTTGGAACCTTCTGGAGACGTGTTTTCTGCGAGGCCTCCTCCCCCCTCTCCGTGTCTGTCCTTCCTCTCTGTCTGCCCGTCCAGCCTCGCGCCTGCAGCAGCTGTCTCCACTGTACCCTTTAGCCCGATCTTGCCCGTGAACTTGACGAGTAGGCTCACCGCTGCTCGGTGTCCAGCGGGCACCTTTCCAAAATCAAGCTCCCTGCGGCCCCAGCCTGCCCCTTCCGCAGCGGCCACCCCCCCGGGTAAGGGTCACTCTGGGATGAAGACTTGAGGGCCGTTTCCAATTCCTCCTCTTCGGCCACCTGGGTGAGCCAGCCACCTCCAGGGCTCACTGCTTTGTCCCAGTCCCGCGTGGCTGAGCCTTAACGCCAAAGCCTTTCTGAGGCCTACGGGGACCCTCGGGACTGGACCTCGCCGGCCTCTTCCACCTCCTGTCTTCCTAACACAACTCACCGTCTGCCCGTCACTCACAGGCCTGCCCGGGGGCCTTTGCATTAGCTATCCAGGCCTCATTCGGGGTTCTTTGCAGATGTCACCTCCTCCGAGAAGCCCTCCCTGACCACTCCACCCCCCTCCCCATCGTTCTCCACCACCTCTACCTGGCTCGTTCTTCCCAGCACTGCCTTCGTCTTCCCTGCCATGCGGGTGGGGAGCCGCTTGGCCGTTCCCTGCTGACCCCCCAGTGCCAGGCTTGCAGTACAAGCTCCATGAATGAATGAATATGGCTCGAGTGGGGGCTTGGGGAACAGACAGACAGACAGACAGACATTCAGAGTTGCCGGCCTGCAACAGAGACAAAGGCTGGAGAGAGGGGTCGGCCGGGCCGTGTGAGTGTTGGGGTGTTGGAGGCTTGTGGTCAGAGCCTCGGCCGGGGGCTCCCCGAGAGCTGCCTGCACCAGCCTGTGCCCGCGCCCACCCCCCGTTCCTCAGGCCGGCTCTGGGGTCTCGGCAGGTGGTCCGGAACATGAGCTCCGAGTTCTTTGCCGCCCAACTGCGCAGCCGCATCTCCGACAACACCACGCACCCCACCTCGTACTACGAGCCCGAGTTCTACACCCCAGACGACGGGGGCACCGCCCACCTGTCCGTGGTCGCGGAGGATGGCAGCGCCGTGGCGGCCACCAGCACCATCAACCTCTAGTAGGG